TCACCAAGTAAGGAAACTTGAGAAACTATATAATTTTAGTACATATTTAGAAACAGTATTAGACTTTTTGTAGCATTGTTCAAGTTAAAAACAAGTTTCGATTAAGATATTAAAAAATATTAATAAAAACAATCAATAAACAATCAATAACTTAATCAATATCATGACATATATCTTGAAATTTATCTTGAAATATTATGTGTATTATGTCAAAATTAGTCAAGATAAATTTCCTATTAAGATTTACACAATAAGAAAGATTTACACGACTCAACGATAACAGGTAAGATTAATAAGATTTATTATCTAATTATTTAAAAAAAAAAAGATTTACAATAAGATTTACAAACAAATTCTTTACCCGGATTGTTTACACAAAACTTCTAATTGCCAAACAAAAACAAAAACAAAAAATTCTAGTTATGGTAATTGATTAATTAAAGTTAATTAATATAAATAATTGATTAATTTAATTAATATAAATATTTGTGTGATAAACATTAAAATATCTGATTATAGATGCCGTATATATTTTATTATTGTTTATCCTCCCTATATTACTATATTTATGCTTATTGTTGTCATATTTTGCCATGCCATATCACATAATAATAATAATAATAATAACAGAAAGAGATTAACAATAAATGTTTCACCTTTTTCACAAAAAAAAAAAAAAATTTTTTTCATTCATTTTATCAAAAATCTCTGCCAAGAAAATCAAGGAAGTCTAGAGTGTAAAAATATAAGATGTACAAGATATATAAGAGATATCTATTAATCAGTTATTACGATAATCTCAATAATCTCAATAATCAAAGTTTGGTTCATGAATCATTATTTTCTCTTTGGTTTCATGTCGAAGTATGCCTTTGATAATAAAAATGTGATAATATATAATAGGGGTAAAACATGATAATTAGTTATATATGATGCAACCTATACGCTATTGTTGTTATTATTGTTATTATTATTAATTAATAAATTCATTATTTGATCATCATAACATCATAATAATAAGTAATAATAATAATATCATTATTATTAGTTATAAAATATCATTATTATAACGGCAAAAAGGGTAAAAAGGGTAAAAAGGTAATAATAAAGATCTACAATAACAATGTCCAGTTACTAAAAAGTTAACAATTATAAAAATATAGTAAATATGTATTATATCGGGCATATATCGGCTATTTATCAGGTGTATATCGGGTATAAACAATCGGATATAAATTTTGGGTACAAAATCTTATTATGTTATCAGGTGGATATTATTTAGAGGGAATAAGGATAAGAATATAAATAATAAGGATAAAAAAATTAAGGGTAAGAATAATAAGGATAAAAAAAAATAATCAAAGATAAGGGTAAAAATGTAGAAACGAGGAGAATATTAATTATTAATTATAGAAAATATTATTAAATAATAATAATAATAAATAATTATGAACGGGTTTTCTAAATTTGTTAGAGTTGTACATGAACCGGAATCAAATAATTTTTATAACATGGTCCGTTCGCTAATATAACAATTAAATTTTATATTTAAAATTTTATTATATATCTTTTATAACATATATAAAGTGTATTATTTAAACTCGATTTATTAAAAGTAGATTATTAAGAGTAAATTTAACTATGTTGATATCAAATACGGTAACAATGATCCCCTTAATTATTTGTAGTTATTAATATTTCAAATTCACAAAATAATTAATTGTCATCTGTTGCATTTTGATAATGTTTCTTATCTCTCTCCTTCCCCCCTTTCTCTCTTTTTTATTCTTTTACTATTTATTACCATTTATTACCATCATACATAATAATAGCAATAAAAATAATAATCATAATAACAACAAAACTTATAATAGTAATAATAATATACTCATATAACTCAACCAGAAAATAACATTAACTTGAATTTTTATAACTTATCATATCATACTATCATATCATCATACCATCATACCATCCTATTATTAACAGGCTATAATAAACATACCACTCTATTATAAACATACTATAATGAACAATATTATACTATTATAAATTTACCTTTATATGCACATATAGCTATATATAACCTGATGCAATATGTATGTAAATGCAAGAATAAATAATCAAGTATAATAAATCAAGTATAATAACAATCAAGTTTCAAATAATCCAGTGTAATGACAATAAAAGTCAAGTGTAATAACAATAATGATAAATACAATGATATAATAAAGATATAATACAATAATTATAATAATTGATAATAAAATAAAAATAACAATTGTAATAATTGATGATAAAATAATAATAATAATAATAATTACAATAATAGTAATAGTAAGAATAATTAATTAAAAAATTATTAACATAATTATTTATCTGTTATCATAATATCAGACATAATAATAATAAATATAATAGATATAATAGATATAATAAATATAATAAATATAATAAATATATAATAAAAATATAATAAATATAATAAATATATAACCCCATTATTTATTTATATCTATTCTAAGTAATATAAACAACGAATCCATAAATGGTTGTCTAAATGCTAATCAAAGAAGTCAGTGCTCAATAATTCGTATGGGGAAGAACTACTACATAGGAAGCATATAAAAAATATATATGTAACATTCGTTTTTTTTGTTAATGAGCTTTATACTTACGTGTCTACTAAATGTCTACTTCCATTTTCTCTTCTATTCTCTTTTATTCTCTTCCATTTTGATATTCGGAAGGAACCAAGAATTACATTTATATAATTCGCTTTTGGAATGATTCAAGGAACCCAAGAGTTTCATGATCAACATTTATAAATTTATAAATGGATTATATGATTGATTACTAATATCATTAGGTAACCAAAATAAACTATTTTCAATAAGAACTATTTATTATTCTGCCCTCCTCCTATAAAACTAATGATAAAATTAAAACTAATTATAAACTAATAAAAGATTACGAATGAAGATAAGACGATAATAAAAATACAATAAAATACAATAATATACAAAATTGGTAAACGAGAATTTATTTTTTTTTCTTTGAAAGAAAGAACCCATTACAAGAAAGATACATATTGCATGATGATATGCATAATGCATTTATATATAAATTACATTATAGTGAAAATCGATGTCAATGTCAATGTGTGGAGTACTAAACAAATGAAATGAAATATAAAATATAAAATATAAAATAAAAAATCTTTTTTTTTTTCACGTAGGAAAATACAAAATCTGTTATTTCAAAATTTTTTATGAATGGGTCATAACATCTAATAAACGACATTCGGCATATTCAAACATATTTTATTATGTAGTCTTATTATAATTATAGTAAAGAGTTTCAACTTCTTTACATTTTTATTATCTTCAATGATGATTCTGAAAAAAAAAGAGATCATTGGATATCTAACTGTCGTCGAGCAAAGAAAGAAGGAAAGAAAGAAAAGAAAAAAAAAAGTTTAATCTATATAATTATTAAATTGGGTTTACATTATAATCGAAGTTTGTCATTGTTTTATTTTGAGCATGAAGTTTATTATGGTCATTGTAAAATTGAGTTTATCATGGTAACAATGAATTCAAAATTAAACGTTGATGCTCGTATTGAATGTAATTTTTCGTCATCGTAACTCCGTTCGCCTCGATTATTTGCTCGTTATTAGTTGATTGGTGATCATTTAATAAAAGGATAATGAAAATAACAATAATTATATTAATAACAGAAATATCGGATTAAACTTATCCGACGATGACTATAGTGTTACATAAATTAGAATAAATAAAATAAATAATAAATTAAAAATATTCAAAAAATTACAATTGCTATCATAACCTTATCTAAATGAACACAACTATTTATTAAATCGTTTATTTATTACCTTATAAAATTCCAATAAGGAATATGAATTTAAATAATAAGAAGTTTTAATTTTTTAGGATACCTAAACAAAATCTTTAAGTTTACGAAAAATAAATTTACTTTATAATTTATCCATTAATCCATAAAGAATCCCGAATAAATGATTCCGAATAAAGTGTTTTTGATCAAAAGGAAAAAAAAACGAGATTTATAAATATTTTAATTTATAATTTGATCCATGTACATAAAATAGTATAATAGCATAATGTATTATTATGTTGGGACGCGTTAAAAGTATGAAAATAAATTATTTTTATACTTTTATATTGTATGTGGACTCTCTCAAAATGAAAATATAATTATTATGACAATAACAGATAACATCAATAACTATAATAAATTGTGATAAATAATATCATTATATAAATTACTTGTAATATAATCTAAATCTTTTAAAAATCTTTTACTGTGCGTAATGATAAAAAAAAAATAATATAAAGATTAACGAATTTGGCATAATTATAATTTTCTTTCTTCAATTATATAAAAAAAAATAAAATACATAAACTTCTCACACATATATATATTTATTTAAAATATTAAAAAGTCGAAAAAAAAAAAATCAAACACGCACATCTTTTTTTAAAGTGAATTTATTTTAATTTATGTAAATATAACTTGAGTATGTTATATGGATTTTTAAAAAATAGCCCATCACATACCCCCAAAAAAATTTTTTTATATGTATTACTCTAATAAATTGTGATAGTGATAAAATCGAAAATTTTTATATTAATCTACTCTAAAATTATTATGTACACTTTATTTTACTTTATTTATTTAAAAAAATTTTTTTTTCTTAAAATTACTATTCATAATTATATATAAATACCCTGCCTTCTTGTCGTCTTTCAGGTAACAAAAAATTCAAAAACAAAAAAATCATCCTTTCTTCATTACAATTAATAAAAGAATTCAAGGAATTCAAAGAATTCGCTAACTTGGAAATCTTTTCTCTCTTCATTACTTTTATTAGAAAATTGTATTTTTTTTTCAATATTTAATAATATTTAATAATAATAATCATTTTTCAAAAATAATCATTTTTCTCTCTTACCAAAATGTCTATGACATCAGTCAAGTGAGTATTATCATCTATATTTAATATTTTATTAAATAATTTTATTATTCAATAATTTATTAAATATTAGTTTGTGGCTTTTTTTTTTATAATTCTCACACTCATTTATTTATATTGTTAATTTTTTTATTTAATGATAAAACAGAGTCGCTTTAAGAATCCGTCCACTTAGTAAAAAAGAAATTGCTCAAAGTTGTTCCGAAGTAATAACGACAATACCGGACACCACTCAGGTGGTAATGGGACAAGACCGACCTTTCACATATGATTACGTATTTCCATCTGACTCTTCGCAAGAAGAAGTATTTGATGAATGCGCAAAACCGCTTTTACAAAAATTGATTGAAGGGTAAATTTTTCAACCTTTTACAAATTATTTCTCAATTATTCCCAATTCCTTCATTCTCTACCAATTTCATTTTCCTCCAATTTTTTAAACATTTTTATTTGTCACGTGAATTACGAAATATATGCACACTATTTGCATTATTATAAATGTTTACGACATTGAAGAATGTTTATTATTAGTTTTTAATTTATTTATGTTTACATTTACATTTCGTCATTTCATCGCCATTTCGGCCCTTACTTATTCATCGCTTACTTACATTTCACCGCTTATTTACATTTAGATATAATGTTACTATCCTAGCGTATGGACAAACAGGTAGTGGTAAAACCCATTCTATGGGTACAAATTTAGAAGACACCGTATCTCCAGAACATAAAGGTAGTTATTTCTTTTTACTTGTTTATTAGTGTTTATTTTTACGAAAATATGTCGATCAAATTTTACTTAAAAATTTTAATTCCAATTGTCCAAATTAGGAATGGTACCACGTACGATCGAGACTTTATTTCAAGAACTCGCGTCACGTAGAGAAAAAAATCCTCAATGCGAATTTGAAGTACTTGTATCTTTCCTTGAACTTTATAATGAAGACTTAAATGATTTATTAAATCCATTAAATCGGGAGTCCGGCAAAAAAGGGAAAAGTGAATTAATGATTCGAGAAGATGCAAACGGACAAATTTACTGGGCTGGTGTTAAAGAAGTTTCCGTGAATTCTCCTGAAGAACTCTTAGCGTATGTATAATAAAAAATTTTTAATATTTCAGCCGGCTCGATGCTTAATATTGTAATAATAACAATAACAATAACAATAATATTATTCTATTTATAACAGACAACTCTCTAAAGGTTCAACATGCAGAACAGTAGCTTCAACCGAAATGAATTCGGTTTCCTCACGTTCTCACGCAATTTTTTCAGTTATTTTACGTCAAACAAGAGTTGAATCCCTTGAAGATTCAGAACCACAATCTTCACACGCCTTACAACCTTCACAACCCGCCGCCGAGTCCTCAAAGAAAAAGAAACCAAAAGGTTTAACTGCAAAAATCACTTCAAAGTTCCACTTTGTTGATTTGGCAGGTTCTGAAAGGGTAAGACATATTCTATATATTTATATATATTTATTCTTCTTTCATATATACTTATAAAATAAACGAATATTAACTTTCCCTTCCTTTCTTTATCTAAATAATAGCTCAAACGTACCAACGCAGTGGGTGATCGCGCAAAAGAAGGGATAGCAATCAATGGGGGTTTGTTAGCCCTCGGAAATGTTATTAGCGCACTTGGCGATGAATCTCGAAAGGTCACACATATACCATATAGAGATTCTAAATTAACAAGATTATTACAAGATTCATTAGGTGGTAATAGTCAAACCCTTATGCTCGCATGTGTTTCACCAGCTGATTCTAACTTCATGGAAACGCTAAACACATTAAAATATGCCAATCGAGCACGAAACATTAAAAATAAAGTTAGTGTTAATGAAAGTTTTTCGGGTAATGCGGCTGAGATAAATCAACTTCGAGGACTTGTTAGTAAATTAAAAGGCGAGATACAACAATTACGCGATGGTGGTGCGGATGGTGAAACTGCTCAAAAATATGAAGAAGAAATTATACAACTCAAAAATGAATTAGGAATATCAAAACAGAAAATAAAACAAATAGAAAATGACCTCATAGCGGTAAACACAGAAAAACAGACATTACTTTTACACGTAGCATATCATGATCAAGATCTCACCGATGAGCAACGTAAAAACAAAATCGAAACATCCGACATCATACGAACATATGAACAACAAATATTTGATTATAAGAATCAAGTTGCAGAGCTTCAAGCAGCAGCAGCTGTTCCTCCTCGTAAATCGTCACTCGCTGGATCAACTCCCGGAAAAGAGAGAGGACACATAAAATTCATCGATGACCATCATGATAACTCATCCGAAGATGAAGCCGCTGCAGAGAGTGAAGAAGAAAACAAAGAGAACATAAAGATGAAGAGACGTCTAAAAAGATATCATCGAAATTCTGGTTCCGAAGAATCATCTAGTAATGGTAATTCCGCGGACTTAACACATGATTTCGTACTTAAAAATATTGAATCCGCCAAAAGCTTATTGGACTATTATAATAAACGTAAGGATCATGATAATAATGATGAGGTCGGTGAAAACGGTAAACAACACACAGATGGAGAAAGCAGTGATAAATCTTCAAAACAGTATCGAAAATTACGACGACGTAGCAGTGCCAACAGCTCTTTAGATAAAGCCCAAGAGCATATGAAAGAAGTTTTGAAGAACGGTGATTCAATGCATGATGATCCTCTCCTAAGCCAAATTATTAAAACTCCTTCATCTACGAAAAGTGAAAGCTACATTGATCAAATGTGGGCAAATAATAAGAATGAAAAACGACGATCTAGTAGTGTTTCATTTAGTGAAATTCAACAATTCGAAGTTCCTCAATGGGAAGAATCAAATCCTACACAATCATCCAACCGACGTGGCTCAAATTCAAGTCGATCTGTCAGTTTTTCTGATCCCCCAATATCACCTAATTCCACAAAGTCTTCACAAAATAGTACTGGTATGTCTTCTCAACAAAACGCAGTTGCACTTACCCGAATGTTACATCAAATACAATCTGATATTGCTGTTAAAGAACAACTCGTTAATCAATTGGAACATGCAGAACAAGAATTCACTTATATGCGTTCTGAATACGAACAAAGATTGAGAGACATGCAAGAAAACCTAATTGGCTTACAACGTGAAAGAGATACAGCTGTTAAACGTGCAACAAATAACGGAGTTGGTATTAGTAAACGCGATAGTCAATCATTACTTCTTGAAATGAAAGTTCGTTATGAACATAAAATGAAACAATTAATACAAGAGATTGGTACATACCGTCGTAAATACAATGAAGCCACTCAAGCTTGTGCCAATATGAAAAATCAAAATGAAGCTATGATAAAGAGTCTTAAAGCTCAAATAGAACAACTTAAAGCAGAAAAAGTTCGAATACTTGAAAAAACTAAAGAAGCAGCTAAGGGAGTACGAGAAATGTTACAATCAAATCGACAAGAAGTTCAAGAATTACGAAGAAGAGAAAAATCAATGCAAGAATCAAATAAAAAATTGCAGAGGACTAACGATATGCAACGAATAATGCTCGATAAACGAGCACAAGAGATTGTTGAAGCCTCCGGAAAATTCAAATCAGTATTAAATCTACTTAAGAAAACTTCACCACCTAAAGTTATAACTAAAGTTTTTCGAAACAAGAAAAATAAGATTATCCCCGAAAATGAACCCAATCGAAGTAATTCCGATGATTATAGTAATATCCATGATGAAATCTTTGGTAGCGGAATTGAGAAGAAAAAATTAATTAATGAAGCCATCAATAAATATATTATAAGTGTTCAACAATATAAGTTGTTGGACGAACTAGTCATACAACGTAATAGTCTTTTGAAAGAAAGGGAGGAAAATATTAAATATCGTGAAAAAGTTCGTATTGATGAACCTATTCTTTTTGCCGCCGAAGTAAGAGGCATTGATGAAAAATTAAGATCAATCGATCTCACGATACATGATCTTAACCACCAAATTTCAACAATCAGAACTGAAATGGCCAATAATATAATTGATACCACAACACCTAATGAAGTTAATGAAGAAGATAAAAATAAGGCAGGACAACAAAGGAAACGTTCTAACCCTGATGCCACTTACAATACTGTAGTAACCATACTACGAAATTTGGATGGGATAGAAAGTCAAACCCTTGTCGAATCCTTCTTTGAAGACATTTGTTCACTTCGATTAAATGAAATACAAACCAAAGAATCACTTTCTTATCACAAGGAAATGATTGGAAAATTATTACAAGATTGCTTTGAAATGAGAAAGCATACATCTGATATTAAGAATAAGTATGAGAAAAAATTACGAAGAATAGAATCAAAGATGAATGATTCTTCTAGATCAACAACACCTGATTCATTAGAAATTCCATCTATTAATGATCTCAATTTATACCATGAGACCGCTTTTTCTCGTTATACTGGTAGTCAATCTTCATCAAGAACGGGTTCTAAACGAAATTCAATTGTTGACTTGTCATCATTAAATAATTACAATATCAAAGACTTCTCTTCAGTAGAGAATTCACAACCAAATAATGTAGTAGTCGGTCGTTCACTCTCCTCAAGACCATCATTGCCTATAGAATGGGTAAATTCTCCACTAAGTGAGAATGATGAAACTATAGTTGCTGATAACGTTGAGGTAAATCGATCTATTTCTCCTTTACCGGAGGAATCTCCAATAAATAACAATACATTACAACATGAAGAAAATCATGAAGAAAATCATGAGGACAAACATGAAGAAAAACGTGAAGAAAAACATGAAGAAAAACATGAAGAAAAACATGTTGATGTATCCACTTCAAATAGTCAAAAAATTAAGAACAATAATAATAGTAGTAATAATGATAATGATAATAGTAATAATAATAATAATGATGATGATAATAGTAATAATGGTTCAGGGAGAAGAAGAAAATTACGAAGACCACTATCTCTTGTTGGACCAGTTGGACCTAAAACCTCAAAGGCCACAACTTTTGAAACCATTGATAGTCCACGTACTCCACGCACTCCAGCAGTTGAGCGTTTATCACGCAATAATTCAATTAGTAATGTATCCCCACGTCCTACACATAGTCGAGACAATAGTTCAAGTATGGGATTCTATGGGAATGGACGCGATAGTGGATATTTTAGTAGCTATGACAAACGAAGATCTCAAACCAGTATGGGAGCTAGGGATGAAGATCATCAACCACACGTTAGATCATACAGCCCAGCAGCTACTGGCAGCGTTTTCGATAGATTGGCCAAAGGCCATACTCACTCAAGTACTGCCAAGAGTATTCCTAGCTCACGATCTTCTACTCCAGTATCTCCAACTCTCTTAAGTAGATCCCCTTCCCCAACTTCTCCAATCGAGACCAGTATATTTGATAGGTTATCCAAGAGCCACACAAAAGCAAGTGCTGCCAAAAGAAGTTAATTTAGATATCTTTTTTTTTTTTAATTCTAATAGAAAAAATAAATTAATTTATTCTCTCAATTGACACAATAAGTTTGTAGATAGACTTAAATTATATACATATATTTTGTATTTCTTGTATATTTTTTCCTTTTTATTTTATATATATTTTTTAATTTCACCTCCAATAATAAATAGAATAGTGAGTATGAAAATTACATATTAGAAAAACCCCACAAAAAAAAAATAATGACTTTAATATCCTTCGAGGGTTATAGTTTTTGTCAGGCACAAAGAAAAATTAAAAAAAATTCTTTGAATATTTTTGTATATAATTTATATCAATTTTTTATATATTACATATATTATATATCTATTATCGTGGGTTATAATATTTTTAAAATAATTATTACTAAAAAAATTTTTAATAAAATAAAACTAAACATCGTTACATCTTTCAAAAAAAAAAAAAATTGTCTTTTAATAATGGAATATTTTCAGATAGTGTTTAATGTTTAATTTTGTTTGATTGTAATTATAATTATTGTATTATTATACACGCGATTTTTATGTTTAAAACGTTGAATGTTTAGATTGAAACTGTTATTTTCGCGATTTTCTTGTACACGTGATTTTTCCAAGAGTATATTGCCTAAATTTGGGTTTATTGCCAAAGTAGTACATTTGAAGAACTTATTTTGCTTACCCCTTAAAAATTAATAATGAAATTGATTTTAAACAATAGACACAATGAACTCGAATTTAGAAAATTTAAGTTATACACTTAAGTAAGTACGACGAAATTCAAAAAAAAAATAAATAAATAACAAAACCACAATTATCATATGTTTGTTGATGCATTTTTTTTTAATAAAATAAAGTTTTTTTTTTAAAGTTATTTGGACAGATCATCCCTATCCGATTAGACCTAGATTTATCATATAACGCCTTTTTTATATTTATAATATTTATTGGCGTTAAATCTTCGTGGTTATCTGGAAATTTAATTATTGACACTTCCGAACAGTAAAATAATAATAATAATATTCACCCTAACTTTCCTACTTTTCTTACATTCATACACATTTCTTTTATTCGATGTCTTTGTTCAAATAATAGATAATCTGCAATTTCATGCTCAATGTAGTGTTATTTTTTCTTATTACCCCTCTTTGCTCATTTTGCGTATAATTATTTCTCTTAATCATTGCTTAATTATCACTTAATTATTTTTATTATTATATTATTATAAAAATACACCTAGACCCTTCGATGATAATGATTATGTTGTGCTGTAATACATTTCTTTTTATCTTTTTCCGATATTTAAGTAATACATTTCTTTTTATCTTTTTCCCGATATTTAATTTAGGTTTTGATAACGCTAAAGGTATTAATATTTATTATATTTATTATGTGAGAATTTATTATTATAAGTGTAACACTCCCTGACTTGTATATATTTTAAAATATAAATCTTAAGAAAAGCTAATTAAAGAATTCAAAATTTCGTCTCTTCATTGATAAACCATGCACAAATAAATTACATACAGATTCCGTAAAGGTTTATTTTCCGTGTGGTATGTAAATGTAAATTTTTTGAGTCCCACATGTTTTTTTTTATATCACATCAGTAAGGAATTAAATTTATCAGTACCCCGTCAGAGGTTAGATTTTTTATGTAAAAATTATTAATTTTTTCGTCATACATATATTATAATGTTTTTTAAAAAAAAATTTTATTGATTGAATTACTAAGTTTTTTTTTTTTTATATGACTAAATGCAAGGGGTTAGGATTAGTTCAGAGGTAAAGATTTGTATCAATTTTGTATATTTGTCACCTATTATATGTCACCAATAAACGCAGGTGCGTTAAAAAACAAGTCATGATCCGTGGCTATAGCTGCTACAAAGAAAACTTGAAGCATCAAGAATGATTTAGTGCCGATCTCTCACGGATCAGGAAATTTATCAAAAATCATTATAATTATATAATTATTAAAATTGAATTTATAAAAAAAGAATTCAACACATTAAAATTAAATTTCTGTCATTAATTCTATGGTAAAAAAAATTCTATAATAAAATATTGGTTTCTTAATTTTAAAAAATTTACACAATGGTAATTATTTTAAATATCCATAAATTTATCGAATTTTGTAAAATATGAAAGGAAATATTCAATTTCTTCATATAAATTTTTATGATAAAATTTAGATAGAGATATGCATATTGTTAAGATATTGATTTTTAAAATATCCGTAATAATGAGTTTTATATATTATTAAAAATATTAAAAATTTGTTAATTTATGAATTTTTAATATAATGACCTTGTAGGAATAAAAATATAGGAAATTGTATATATTTACAATATTTTAGAAAGTAAAAAATTTCAGTTTAATTAACTTGCGGAAATTTTTTGCAAAAAAAAAATTTTCATTGTCAAATTTGAAGACCATATCACTAGGACGTATTTGATTTTGAATATTAATAAAATTTGTTAATGAGAAATTTGATAAATCCATTAAGCTAATAATTTTCGTTTGTATCTTCCATCTTTAATACAATTTGAAGATTCTTTACATCAACCAGGTTTAATATATATGTGTCTCCATTTTTTTTTCCGTAGCTTCTTTTGCGCAAAGAAAGGCCTTGATGTCAAATGTAATTGGTTCTGTACTATAAAGCTCTTCATCTATATTATTAAGTTCTTATTTCGGGAATAATTTTATTAAATCATAAAAGTTATTAAACGTGACATTTAACCATTATCATTAGACCTTATAAAAATATAGATAGTTTACGAATTTATTTTAACTTCATATGAAAAAAATCTTTTTACTATTTTATGAAGAATCTTTGAATCTTCACCACACAAATAGTAGACTTATAAAATAAAAAGTTTTATATTTTTTGATTTTATATATTAATTTATTTTCATAATAATTATCAATGATTATGAACTCGGCGGTTAATCACGATTCTGGACTCGTCGATTAACCGTAAGCCAATAGGGTCGATTAATCGAGTCAAATATTAGCTAATCCTAAAAGGGATGTTGAAATTCGTCATAAACTTGAACCCAGGTTAAGATACTCAAGAGGTCAAAGACCCTTAAGGGTAAATAATCAACGAAGCTTTATATCAATAATAAACCAGATTTCACATTTTCAAAAAGAATGTTTCATGATAGTTGTGTTTATAATTTGAAATGTTGAGATTTTTACAAATATTATATTTTAAAATAAATATTGATATCAAAGATCTATTTATTATATATTTTTATTTACGTTTTATAAACATTTCCAAATCTATGTTCTTTAAAATATTCTCCACCACATTCGTTATACATTTCTACGGTAACAACGGAATTTTGAAATTCATCCGTTTGCGACCACATTGCTGCACCTCGCCATGCATCAAGAACCGGATCCTTTGTATGAATAATATTAAGCGGTGATCCGGCTGTTAAAATAGATTTCAGTGAAATATTTAATCTATTTAGCAGTTTGGGGGTTTGAGTATGCCCTCCAGTCAAAAATACTGACTATAAACAATAGAACAATAAAACAATAAATTTAATTAATTAGACAATCATTAAATATCATTGGGATATTTCAAATCGATATATATATATATATCAAATATACTTACTTGAACCATTTTTCTTCTTTGTTCTTCATCAAATCTATTGACAATTTCTCCAAAAGTTTCTACAACACCAGCTTGATCCAAACCTACTATACTTGGTTGAAATAATGCTTCAGGAACCCTTATCCTTTCGACATTAACATGTAATTGATGCATTTGTGCAAAATCTTCCGGATCATAAGGCGGTGAAACTCCACGCGTAAACATGAATACAAGTGAATTTTTAAGAGAGTTCTTTGCATCAAATGTATGTTCTGGTAAAAATGTTGAATCATATTGGAGAAGTTTTGTTTCATATTCTCTCAATTGAGAAAGCTCTTCCTCTTCTTCCCACGCGTCCTCTTCTTTACTCTATAACGTTTGATAAACATTGATTAAAATTACATTTGATTGTAATTAAGAATAAAAACGTATTTGACCAATATATATATATATATACAATACTTACAATTTCTTTATAAATTGACCAATCATTATCATCCATTCCGAATGTATCTTCTAATTATATAATTATGGTCAATAAAAGAATAAAAGATGTATTTAAAAAATCTGTATTATCCGATGAAAAAAATTATAAATACCATCTTGCCCTCTTCTTCTCCTCTTTTGTTGAGGCGTATCACTAGCTAAATTAGCTATTGATTTCATTCGTAATTGTGAAGCGTGACTTCTTCGATCCGAAAGTTGTTCTTTTTTTCGTTTTAGACTTTTTACTTTATCAAATTGTGTCTATTTTAAAATCGACGATTATTAAAATAAAATTCAAATATAACTCTAAATATACTTATATCAAATTTTCTTCCAAATTAATCACCTGGTAATTACGCTTCAGTTCATTTAACCATCCTTCAAAATCCATTTGCCGTCTTTGTTCTTCCATTTTTTCTTCTTCTTCCTAACCACAATTGAAAAAATCCACAAATTAAAGATCATCTCTTCAATTAATTAATAAGGGAAACCCCTAAAAAAATAGAATTATTATAAAACTTACTTGCTGTCGCCTAGCTAGTTCTTTTGCTCCTCGTTGCCTTAGACGAGATTCGTGAAGACTTTTTGCAGCTATTTGTTTCTTTTTCTCTTTTTTTTCAACATCATTCAATCTTTCGTCTGGTATATCAATTAATGGGAAGGTAGGTTCTTCCTATTATTATTATTATTATTAGATTATATTTAGATTAACATATAAATTAAAAATGATAATTTACTATTACTTAAAATCATGATAAAATGATAATTTTTATACTTTTATCTCAACTTCATCAATTCCCAATAATTTGTTTCTTGCTCTTTGAACAGCTTTTTCGGTTTTTTGAATTGTTTCGTCTAATTCCATCTCATCACTAATTCTATTTTCTTTAAGTTTTGACTTTTTACGTAACCCCAAAGAAATACATAAAAATATATAGAAATATAATTAATCATAAAATAATAATAATAATAATAATAATAATAACAATTAATAATAATAATAATTATCATTATCAAACAAAATGAATCAAAATTAAATATATCACACACCATAAATTCTGATCTTCTTATTGATGTTTTACTTGTTTTTAGTTCCGTGTAGAAATTCAGAGAGACCTCAAGATCTTTTAACTATATATTAAAGAAAAAATAAAAATAAAGGTTATAAAAAAAAAATCTCATTTAAAATAATAATAAAAAGCAAAATTCACCTTTTTCTCACGTAATTTTGCGGCCTGTTCTTTTAATCGACGTGCTTGTTCCTGTCGTCTCTCTTCCGCTCTAGCCAATTCTTCTTCAGTTTTTTCATTGGCCTATATTATGATGAGATAATGTTATTATTCACTTAAAGAAATTAAACTAAAAGAATAAAATTAAATATAAAATTTCATTATACCGGTGGAACATAAGGAAATTGAATAATTCGATCTTTTTTTGCAAAAGTTTCTGGATCGGTGTATTCTTTCAATTCCGAAGAATAATCTTCCGCCACGTAAGTGTAATTATGTACAAGGTGCTATTCAATTAAATAAAAGTTCAAAAAAAAAAAAATCCTTTAAATCAATTTCATTAGATAAAAAGATATAAAAAAAAGATATATAAAATGAAAGATAATATTAAGAAAAATCATCAACTTGTGCTTGATTAATAGTCATCTTTGTAGGAAAAGTTGGATATTTAAGTTGCATCAATTTTAACATATAATCAGTGGAAGTTAATCCACCATAAGATATTCTTTATGTAAATAATTATAAAAATTATTATTTTGATTTATGAAAAAATAAATTTTGAAACAGAAATAAAATTTGTGATTAAAAAAAATTTCAAACCTTTTAGTTTGCTCCAAAACTCCACGACCACGAGCCACCGGTATAACATGAGTTGTTGTATGACCAGATGATATGACAACACCTCCATCATCAAATGACAATCCATTCGCGTAATAACTAAAAAGAGCATCAATTCCATAACATATCGAAGGAACACGATAACATTCAAATAATAATTCAGACATCACTAAAAAACAAAAAAAGAAGAAGAGAAATTAGATATAATTTATAGAATAAAATAATTAGTTAAATGTTATTTTTTTTAAAGAACATAATAAAATTACATTTTCTTGAATGATTAGGATTACAAATGGGTTCAGTCATTAATATTGGATGATTTACTGTTTCCTTATTTACTCCAAGTTTAACGAATATGTAATCCAAGATATATTCCTGTAAATAAAAATAAAAATAAAAATAAAAAAATAAAAATAAAAATAAAAATAAAAATAAAAATAAAAATTAATAATAATAATAATAATAATATATATAATAATAATAATAATATGAGGGGTAAATAATAAATTATGATTAAAATAATTAAATGAAATGATAAAAATCAAATACTCTCAAAAGAAACAAATGATTAAATATTACCATAGTTTCAAAATTATAAACAACATTTCCATCAAACACAGATTTTGCATTCGTTTTTGCCGTTGCATCGGTATAAATATCATTACCAACTAATAACATGCTTTGATTAAGTTTACGATCTCTATATTTTGCCACCAGGTTATCAAATTGTACTTAAAGAAATGAATGAGGAAAAAAGAATTAGGTTTATTAGATTTAAAATTTTAAAATTTTTAAAATTGAAAAATTAAATTAAAAATTAAAACTTACATCTCGGGGATTTATCTGTAGCCCAACCAACACGACATTGGTATGATCCTTTAAAAAATAAAAAAATAGATAAAATATATAAAAAAAATCATTATATATATATATATATATATGAGATAAATCATTATATATATATATATATGAGATAAATCATTATATATATATATATATGTGAATTATATGAAATTAAATAAACTATCTTTAATCGTTATTAATCCTTTTGTTTAATTAAACTTTACGCGTTTTATCGTAAATTAGCTATGGCTGTATTCTATCATTATTCCCAACATATTCCACCACATAAGAAACATCCTCCTAAAATCACTCAATCACTTTAAAATCTTTTAAATGAGTTAGGATAACATATAAATATATTATTATACCATTATCAATGACAAGTGGCATTCCATTATTCGAAAAGTTACTTTCATAATCAGTGGAAGTTAGATTTGGGGTATAATTTCTTCTTTCTGCAATATTAAAAATCTTTGTTGGTGTCATTTTCTTATTTTCTTAAATTAATTTTTTCACCCATATTATTAAATAATTCAATAAATTTATTATTGTGATCAATTTCTAATCGACGAAGCAGGAATTATCGAAATTTATTAAAGATTTTTTTATAAATTTACAAAAGTTCACGTAAAGATTCAATTCTCTTACTGTTTCTTACTACAAGTTTTTATAAACATTTTACTTAAAAAAAAAAAAAATTTTTTTTTTTTTTTACTACATATTTAAAATAGTATTAAATGTTTATTTTACAATTATAATAATTATAATTATCATATAACATAAAAATGCCAAAAATGAAAAAAAATGGATAAAATTTTAAAATGTATAAACAATTTGAACATAAATAAATAAATATAATATATAATAATAATAATGTAAAATATAATAAAATATAATAAAATATAAATAAAATATATAATTAAATATTCAATTATTTAAATATCAATATGGATAGAAACTCTAATATCTCTAATATGGAATCAATATGAACTCTCAATGTTGACCAGTGGAAGGGTAAGAATTTCCTTGATTATAATAACCTTGTTGTCCAACAGGAGGTGGATAAATGGTATTACTGGGAGGTGGATAAATATTATTACTATTATTATTATTATTAGGTGGATAAGTTGGATATGGATTCATTGCTGGATTCATCATAGCTGAATTCATCATAGCTGGATTCATTGTTGTTGAATTAACTGGTGGATATCCACTCATAGTAGATACATTTGATAAATTAGTAGATACATTAGGTGTAGGTAAAGGTATTGGAAATCCTAACGAATTTGAGCCACCAACTTGTGCTGAACTAGTATTTGTATTAAGAGGAGGAGAAGAATAAGAAGGATAACCTGGAACATAAGAAGAAGTTTGTGGAGGATATTGTGTTGGTGGTGGTGGATATAACGGTGTTGATTGTGAAACAGGAGGAGGATACATTGATGATTGCTACAATTTCGAAAAATGATAATTGTAAAATTCGTTAATAATTTATTAAAAATCAAATAAAAAAAATAAAAAATAAAGATTTATTTACCGTTGGAGGAGAAGCTATTAAATTATTAACTATAGGAGGTGACGTAAATTGATTATTTGTAATGGGATAAGAGGCTGGTTTGTTTGTTTGCGAATATTGTAGATTTGAATTTTTAGATGGAGTTGAATTTGGCTTTTTGGGCAAGGCATTCTTTGAATCAACAAATGAATAAAATTACAAAAAATTAATGTTACTTTCATTTATTTTAATAAACAATATGAAAAATTAACTTGTAAGAACTCACTGTATCGTAAAATGTCATTTCAAGTAGAATTTCGCCGGCATATTTGTTTACACGAGATTTAATTTCGAACCATTCTAATCCCATTTTAATAAATTTTCAAAGTGTTCAGTAATATTTAAACATTTATTTGCATAGATTATAATGAATGTGAATGATAATTGAAAGATAATGAATGATATATTGATGATAAATGAATGATAAATGAATTCATTTATAAAAATATTTTATTATTACCATCTTGTTCGCCTTTACTCAAAACCTTTTGTAAATCAACTCTCGCACTTCCGATAAAATCATCTTCTCGGACATCTTCATTATAAATTTCTACCTCCAATTTCTTGCTTTTTGGTTCATCTGTAATATCAAATCTCACTTCTTCGTCCCATTCTGGATGTTGTCCACCTCGTTTGTCTGTTTTAGTTCTCTTTTTAACTTCCGCTACACGAAATGTTGCATATGGGTCTGCCTTTCCAACAACATCAGACGTCATTAAGTTTTTCTATATAAACATAAATTGAATATAAAAATATTATAAATGCGTCAGTAAATACTTGCCAAAAGCAACTAAAAGGTTAAACGTTAAAGAAAACGTCTTTTTTTTTTTTTTTTTTTTTTACAATGAAACCATAATCAAATACATATATATTATCATTTTACCGCTGAGATTACTACAACCACAAGTTCACCTATTTTCCGAGGCATCGTTGGATTGTTTTCTTTTGATTTAGTTTTTTTTTTTTTAAAAAAAAAAATAATAATTTGTATTCCTTTTCCTTTTATATTAAACGCATTATGTTCTAGAATTTTCGTATCTCCTTAAAAGTACCGAAATTATGAATTCCTCCAATTGGTACCCGTACAACAATATTGATATAGTTTAAATCGCGATTTAATCAGATCAACACGAAATAGTTGCACTTTTATTTAAAGATTATCAAGTTTTTTTTTTTTTTTTTTATCTTAAATAAATTTTATGGCAATTTGTATAAACTATTTTTTCATATGTCAGGGAGTTAAGAATACGATTGTACTACTTAATATTATGATGTATATTTTTAGATTATTTCTATAGGATCAATTTCTAAAATCTGTATAATTTAATGTATATATCCAAATAATATATATTCTACGAGGAAACCAGTATTCTAGAATATCAAGGTAGATAAATATAAAATCAATATCAATATATATATTTAAAAAAAAAAAAAAGAAAAGAAAAGGAGGGAAATCGTTAATATACATAATAATAAGTTAAAGAAGATTCTATTAATTTTGAATTTATCATTCACAAAATTTAAATCAAAAATTAAATCAAAATTTAAATCAAAATTAAATCAAAATTTAAATATTGTTGTTATTCATCTTTTTTCAATGATCAATTGACATTCTTATAATTTTATAATTATAATCATTCTTTTTTTAATCATTCTTTTTTACTTAAGGAAATGCAAGTGGATCATTATATAACGGATGTGGTAATTCTTTCATCCGTTCAGGAGTTACAGGAGATGAAGGTATTGGTGGTGTGGCTAAAGGTGAATTCGTTTTACTAGCCGAATTCGATTTTGATTTTGATCGAGGTGGCGTTAATGATAATGGACTAGTTTTTTCAAATGATTGTGTATTATTTGGACGAAATGATGGCGAAGGTGGTGAACTTGAACTAGTTTTTATTCCCAATGATGGAAATGAATTTCTATTGTTACGTAGAAATGATGTGGGAAATGATGAAGGTAATGTTTGCCAAGGTTTAGTTGAATTCGGTGGTGATGATGAGAATGAAGATATAGATGTATTATTATTATTGTTGTTCTCAGAATGATCATTCATAGAAAATGACATCATTTCTCGTATTCTTGGTGTACCAGGAGCACTACCATTACTTTCAATATCTGAAGATTCTGCAGGTTTTACAGGTTCTACAGGTTCTACAGGTTCTACAGGTTCTGATGGGGTTACACTTCCACTATCACTATTGGTTTTTTTATTATTTTCATTAGAGTTGTAGTTAAATGATATACTTTCAAATTCAGAATTCACTTTCGCGGCAATATTCGCCACATTTGAATATGCCACTGCACCAAAATTAAGTGTGAATCTTGCAAAATTTTGAACAATTTCTTTAGCATTGATCTCATTTACATTAGTATCATCACTTGAATCCTTTTTTTTTCCATCATATTCATTCGATCGCCAAGGATCTTCTATTTCAAAGTTTACTTCTTTTCCAAGTGGTGATTGTGTACGCGTATCCTCTTTCCAAAAACCACCCTCTTCAATTCCAAGTGGATCCGTACTGATACTCGGAGATCCTGGTCGTGAACTGTCCGATCTCCACCTAATACGTGAAGCAAACCCTTCCGATTTCTCATCTGTAATATCTTCAGGAATTCCATTCAAATCATCATCTTTTTTTTGAAATACTCCAGCCCAATATTTCACATTTTTTACGTCAGGTAACAATACTCCCATATCACCAAATTCTTCATTATTTTTTGTACCATGGTCATATAATTCATTAAGAAATTTTTCTTTGTAAGTATTAAAATAATCCCATACTGAATAAGTAAGACCTGCTGCATTATAATCCATTCTCTCCTTTTCTGAATTAAATAGGAATGTCCCAAATTGACAAGAATAACAATGATAATGTAACTCAATCAAAAAGGTTTCGTTAAATTCAAATCTTGTAGGAAATTGAGAATAGATTTGATATACACAATCCAAAAATTGATGAAATACTGGTGAAGTTTCCCGTACATGAGATTGCTTATAAAACTTGCTTTGCACTGAATTAAAAGCATTGGAATGAGTCGTGTTCATGAAATATTTTTCATTTGAAAGATGCCCAGAACGATCACTGAATTTATGACCAAAAGATATCCATTCTTTTTCTACCAAAACCTCAAATCCTTTTAAAGTACGATAATAAGGATCCAAACATAATTCAGAGATCGAAGTCAATTGAGCTGTACGATCCCAACCATCCGAACAATGCACGAGTACATGAGAATTTGCGATATGAATATTTTTGACGATGGTGAGTGCTGAATCTAATAAAGTACTAATATGTTTAAGCCAACCGGATTTGTCTAGATTTTGTCTTTTTATTTGCACGCCTTGAGCATCAGCGGAATGAATCGCTATTGATAAAAATATATATATATATATATATATATTATATAAAATTTTTAAATACTTCATACCTGATCCTTACATTATTATAATACGACATACAATTAAAAGATCAAATATAATAAAAATAAAAATTTTTAGTATGTAAATGAAAATACCTTCTACTAATTTCCCTAAACTCTCTCTCATCACATGAATATTATCTATACCCATATGCTTCTTTTCACAATTTTTATAATTCTCCATATTTTCCGTTCCTGCACCTAATGCCGAATTGGCCATGGCATTTAAAGTTGGACGAGCATCGATGATCAAGTTTGTGGCCGTCGACCCATATACCATTTGCCCTTCCTCCAGGGGTTGAACATTTGACTGAAAAATGGCTTCAATTAATTTTTCGTCTTGTATTGACCTATTTTGTTTGAGGCCAACCATTGGTTGACTTGAACGAGTAATTGATGCCTACGAATATTAAGAGATTCTTTCTTTGTTAAATAAAGAATATGATATAGAACTCAAAAAACAAAAACAAAAGGAATCCAAACCTTATTATATCGATGTAAATAACTTAAAACGGGCACACGTTCCCTACTTCTGAATTTACTGGCGTATTTTAAGACATTATCGCTGATTTTTTTGGGAACCAAAAGAGTTCGTGGGTATGTTGTACAGAACTATAATAATAATAATAATAATAATAATAATATAATAATAAACCATAAATGAATAATGAAAGTACAACTATGCATTTGATGAACTAAACAATATGCAGTCATTGTAGATAAACAATTGGAATTTGCATCCAAGAATTTTTGCCTCATCCATAACATCCAATATAATAAAAGAAACACATTTCATACGAGATAACCTCGATTAGCGATAGAAAATCTCCATGAATTAGTTATTTCCATTCGTTCAAATTCTTTGAGAGGATTATAGATAGACCAGCCATCATTTGAAATGAATTGCTTCTCGGGTTTGTAATAAAATGCGTAAACATGTTTGATAGAACCTTTTTTTTTTGAATTAAATATACGAAATTAAAAACTTGTGGTTAGGAATAATATATAATATATAATACTTATGACTAACTAACGAAACAATATCTCTTAAGTACATACTTATACATGTTAATTTCTGTATAGTATCAAATACATCAATTGCTTTACGTTCTATAGGTATAAAAAATGTAATATATCTAAAATCACGACATCGAATTATCAAAGGATGTTTTTCATTTATGGCAGGTCGACGTTCAACGGTATGAATAATTGGATAAGAAATCTTGAGGGATTAATCAATTAATTAATTTCAATTAGGTAATTATTTAATTCAATTTTTTTTTTTTTTTATTATGATAAAAATTTAGAATTATCTCTTTTGTTTAATTAATTAATGAAAACAATTTGAAAGTGATACAAACCCATAATTCTTGTTCTTGGTCAGGGCACATAAAAATCATTTGATGTGTGGTTAAATGTAGAGTGCCAATTTCCTTAACATGACCTTGTTCCATTAAAACATTTTCAACCTACATTCATTTGATCATTAAATAAAAAAAGAGATCAGAAAATAATTACTCTCCGAAAAGAATATAATTAATATTTTTTAATTTGCTTTCATAAGTAAAAGCAGAAGAGCGCAAATTTCAATTCATTGCTATTGTCACTAATTGTATACCGCTCTTTTTTTTCAATAATGAACCTTTGTGATCTTCAAAAAATCCATATTATTTTTATTATCTTTATTGTTTTTGAGCCGTGGTAAAAATTCGGAGTAGAACAAGTAAGAACAAGTCACCAGATATGTAAACGAGAATGGTCAATCTGTGCAACAAATGTTTGAAATACTCGATGAAAGAATTTTAGGACATTTTTGGATATTTTTAGATAAAAGAATTAAAAAATTTTCATCTCTTTGATAATTTACACAAGTAAATCAAATTTTGCTTTTTTATGATAAGTTGAACGTGTAATAAGAAAATTAAAGAATTTTTTAAAGGACAATAATAATAAATGTTTATCGATGTTTATTGATGATATATGATATGAATTAAAAAAAAAAAAATTAAAAAAAAAAACCAATAATACTGTAATAGGAGCAAAATGAATTTTGAAAAAAGTAAATGAAGAAAACAATTCACAATAATATTCTCTCCCACAAAATATAATACTAGAATACCAGAATAATGATGTATTATAGTGAAAATATTCTTTGTAATCCAATTTGATATTTATTACAATATGATATTAAAATTATTTACATTGATTATGTACAAATAAATAGAATTTATCCTTAAAAAGGTACAAAACAATATATATTTTTAATAACTTTTCATTTTTACATCATATCAATTAAAATGGCAAAAAATAATTCTTCCCAATAAAATTCATCACTAAAGATTTATATGATCTTTCCATTTCATTTATTTGAATCTGAGATAAAAAAAAAAAAAGATTTGAATTTCAATAAAAAATTTTGTTTTCAAATTAGATCAATTTTTTTATCAATGGAAGAATAAAAAGAATAAAGTGTAAATAATGGAACAGATTTTACGTTATTGATAAATAAACTACATTTAACAAATCCCTTTCTGAAACTATGACAAATCAATTTTATTTTCTATTTAGGGAAAATTACTTTTTTTTTCAAACAAGATTAATCCTGAATTTTTTTTTGTTATACTCAAAACCATCCCGCAGTGTTATTGAATCTTTTAATTGGATCAATGTAAAATTTTCATTCTTGATTTTGGTAAGTACAATTCGATGTTGTGTGCCATCGCCTCATGGTGTGAATTGTTACACCGGTTTAAGCAGATGGTATAATTTAGGTGCAAATTTGGCTTTCCCCTTTGCCTACCAGACTTTGCTCAAGGAAAGCAAAACGAAAAAACGAAATCTTGTTCATCCGCTGAAGTTCTTGAAACATAATCCGTCCTAGCCCTTCTGGACTTATAGAAATTAAAAGGAGCCTAAAGTCCATATAGTCCCACAGGCATCCCTATTAAAATTCATAATTTCCCTTTAACACTTTGTTATTTGAAAGTGAAGAAAGGGATTGATTTTTTCCTAACGACCCAATCAAACGTTACATAAAGTACATCTAAGACCAAGAGATATTATAAAAAGTAACTTAGTCGGTTTATAAGATCTTTATAAACGCGCATTAATATAAATTATATATAGAATGTCTGAGGAAAATATTGATAATGTTGAAGCTGTGACTGCTAATACGACTGATGCTGTCACGGAGGCAGTTGAACCTGTTACTCCTACTGAGACTGAAGAAAAAGCTCAAGAAGAAATAGACCATAAGGTCTTTGTTGGAAACTTGGCCTTTCAAACTACTGAAACAACGTTAGCCGAATTTTTTGGTAAAACCGGTAGCGTGTAAGTTGAATTTTTTTTTTTTTTTTTTTTTATTTAATTCACAATAATGAATAATATTAGCATATATATAGATTAATTAATAAAAATCTATTTTTCGAAAATAGTATTAAAGCTAATATTATTACTCGAGGAACACGTTCTCTTGGATATGGTTTCGTCGCACTTGAAACCGATGAAGACGTCAAGAAAGTCGTCGAAGAACTCAATAAGAAAGAATTGGAAGGACGTCAAATCAATGTAGAAGTTGCCAAACCCAAAAACGAAAATGCCGATCATTCTCACCAAGGCTGGAACACTGGTCCACGTCCACGACGTGGGAGATTTGGAATTCGTGGTAGTGGTAGGGGTAGAGGACGTGGTAGGAGTCGTGGACGGGGCGGCAGAGGTCGTGGTGGTTGGGTTAGTAATTTTTATAATTCTTAATCATGCGAGTGTTTATATTTATATATTTCTATTTTTAAAATTTTATTAAATAATTTATTTACATATTTATTCATCTTTATTTATTTATCATAATTTATCTTTATCTGAATATTCAAATACAGCAGGGTCGTCGCAGATTTCGTCATAATATTAACGAAAATAATAATAATGTCGAAGATTCCGTTAATTCCTCCGTCCCAAATACAAATGGAGACATTGACACCTCTCATGTAATGCGTGGAGGAGGAGGTTATCGTCGTCGTGGACGAGGCCGTGGTCGCATCAGTCGCGGTGGTCGTCCACCAAATCGTCGTCGTCGTCCTATGAATCTACCTGTTACTAAAACTGGAGAACCCTCTAAAACGGTCGTGTTTGTTGCCAACCTTCCCTTCTCTATTGATAATGAAGGTTTGAAGGAAATCTTTAAAGATTATGATGTCGCTTCTGCTCACGTTGTTCGTCGTCGGGGTGGGCGCTCTAAGGGTTTTGGTTTTGTTACTTTAGCAAATGAAGAAGAACAAAAGAAAGCCCTTGATGGGCTAAAGAGCGCCGCATCCGAAGGTAGAGAATTGGTCATTAAAGTAGCATTGAGTGATCAACATCATATTCAGCCAGGGGATGAAACTGAAATTGAAAAATCGGATGCTCCCGCAATTTCTTCAGACGAGAGGAAAGAAGAGGAGGATGAGTAAATAATCAAATACATTTATTCACAGGAAATATTTAATCTCTTGCGACATAATAATCTATTTCTTATGGTTTTTATAGTTAGGGGTTTTTTTTTGTATTGTAACATTAACTATGTAATATGTTCTATTAGCACCATTTTTTATTATTTTAGGGCAACAGATAGAAGCAGTTACTCATTTATTTTTAAATAGTCCTTTATATATTAATATTTTTTTTTGATCTTTATTCTGATCTTTAATTATTGGAAGAACAAGTGTTTTCGTTATTTTGGTATATGATTATATTTTTACCAATAAATTATGTCAATTAGGACAAATAAACGAAATGAAAAGGTGAAATTATTTATTTATTAAAAAAAATATTTATTAAAATCATATTTTTCGGTGTACGAGTATTTCATTATTATTTAAAAATACAAATAATTGAAATAATTGATAAAATTCATAAAAAAAAAAAAAAAAATAATAATAATAATCATTATAACCATTTTGGTCTATTCACCGGAACTCCGACCAAATCAGTATCGAATAATTCAATAAATTGTTCATTTAAGACTCTAACTTTAGGACCTGCATATCGACGATATTCTTCAAAAATTGAAGTTAAATTCCATTTTTGTAACTTACGCAAACATCCCACAATTGTACCTTTTTTAATAGATATTATTATAATTTGATGAAAAATAAATTATTCATAAATTTATTCGTAAATTTATTCATAAATTATTCATTACCTGTTCTATGTCTCCCAAGATTGCACATAACAATCATTGGATAATTTCGAGGATTTAATATATTTTCTAAAGCTTCTAGAACTACTTCTTCGGTAATTGGATCCAAAGCATTAACTGAAGAGATCCCTCCAAGGTGATGCAATACGATCTCTTGATCATCAATAAAATTCAAACTTTGAAAATAATTGATTTAATTGTAGTCTTTTAACTTATTGAGTGATCTCTTGAAAAAAGGAAGAGGTACTTACAACCTTTGATTAGGATCTTCAGGTGCTAACCATACAACTGTTTTTAATCCAAGCTTCTCCAAAAAAGGGAAATTCAGTTCATTTGGTTGACCCGATCTGTAAAGATCTTCTTCTATCATACCATAATTCTACACGATCATTCCAGATTAACCAAAGATCAACCTTTAATGACTAAGTATTTACTAATAAATAACATACCAAAGGAGGAATAAGATGTTGAGAACTCATGAAAAGTTTATCATTCAAATAATTTGGTCCAATCAAAACTTTGATCCATTTTGTAATCCACTTTGTAATTCACTTTGTAAAACCATCATCAATCAAAAATTCATTCAAAAAGCTTTACAAAAATCAAATCGTACAGTCACACCAATCAGTACAGTTCACCTGATCGTACAGTAAAGTTTATATGTATACTCTAACAAAACCATCGCGAACATTCAGTAAAAGCCCATTCGATGGTTGGTTTGCTGGAAAAACTACCGCTGAGCAAGCTCGAATCGCCGAAGAAGGTGAAATTAACCCATTTACAAACAAACCTTTTACTAAGCGATACCAGGAAATCTTACAAAGTAGACGAAGCTTACCCGTGCATGCACAAAGAAAAGAATTTCTCGATTTAGTCCATAATAATCAATTTGTAGTATTTGTTGGTGAAACTGGCTCGGGGAAAACTACCCAGTTAAGAATCGCTTTTTAAAAATTTCATTTAAAACTTTCAATATTATAATTATACTTACTGATTTTTAAAATTCATTGATCAGAATTCCACAATTTCTTTGTTATGATGTTCTTCCTCATCTAAAGAAGAAACAAATCGCATGCACTCAGCCACGTAGAGTTGCTGCTATGTCTGTAGCACAACGTGTAGCTGATGAAATGGATGTAAAGCTTGGTGAAGAAGTCGGATATAACATTCGTTTCGAAGATTGTTCAGGTCCAAAGACTATGCTGAAGTATTTAACTGATGGTATGCTTCTACGTGAAGCTATGAATGATCCAAAACTGGAGAAATATTCTGCTATTATTCTCGATGAAGCACATGAACGTACTTTAGCAACAGATATTCTTATGGGTTTGGTGAAACAGGTTCGATTTATTTCCATAATATTTATTTATAATATTTTTTTTTAATTAATGATCTAATTTTTCTTTGTTATTTATATAGATCGCTAGATCACGACCAGAATTAAAAATTGTTGTTATGAGTGCTACACTTGATGCCGAGAAATTTCAAAAATATTTTAATGATGCACCAGTATTGGTATGTATGTTTTTTTGTATTTACTATTTGTATTTATTATTTGTATTTATTATTTACTATTTGTATTGTTATTCTATTTTTTTTTTTTTTTTTTTTATAATTTAAAACTATTTTTTTGTTTGCAGACTGTACCAGGTCGAACTTTTCCTGTAGAAATTTATTACACACCTGAACCTGAAAGAGATTATCTAGAAGCGGCCATTCGTACAGTTTTGTTTATTCATCAATGCGAACTACCTGGTGATATTTTGATATTTCTTACCGGTGAAGAAGAAATTGAAAATGCATGCGCAAAAATTCGTATAGAGACTGATGAGTTGATAAAACAACAACATGATTTGGGACCTCTGAAAATTCTTCCTCTCTATTCATCACTTCCTCCTCAACAACAACAACGTATTTTCGAAGGTGCACCACCTGCACGTACCGAAGATGGAAAACCGGGTCGTAAAGTAATTGTATCAACTAATATTGCCGAAACGTCATTAACTATTGATGGCATAGTTTATGTAGTTGATCCTGGCTTTAGTAAACAAAAAGTATATAATCCTCGCATTCGTGTTGAATCTTTGCTTGTAAGTCCAATTAGCAAAGCTTCTGCTCAACAACGGGCTGGTCGTGCTGGTCGTACACGTGCAGGAAAATGTTTTCGTCTTTACACTGAAAAAGCATTTTTGAAAGAATTGCAAGAACAAACTTATCCCGAAATTTTAAGAAGTAATTTGGGAAGCGTAGTACTTCAATTAAAAAAATTAGGTATAGATGATCTTGTACATTTCGATTTTATGGATCCGCCAGGTAAATTATAATTAAAAGATTCAACTTTGATATTGAAAATTAATCAATTAACATATGTAATTTACATATTAATAATTTCAGCACCCGAGACTTTAATGCGTGCACTGGAACTGCTTAATTATCTTGCGGCACTTGATGATGATGGTAACCTTACTCCCGATGGTCATTTAATGGCAGAATTTCCATTAGATCCTCAATTGGCCAAAATGCTAATCGAAAGCCCTAAATATAAGTGTTCGAACGAAATATTATCAATTGCAGCATTGCTATCAGGTTTGATTTTATTGAACTATTTGACATTTGATGTTATATTTAAATGATTGAGCATTGTATTTTTAAAGCTTTTCCTTCCCTCGAATTTTTAAAGTTCCGAATGTTTTCCTACGGCCGAATGATTTGAAAAAGCAAGCAGAAGATGCGAAGGGTAAATTTGCACACACCGACGGGGATCACTTAACTCTATTAAATGTATATCATGCCTATAAAGCAAGTAAGTTGATATTCGTTTATGAATATGATTTTTTTTCATGATTATATGATTATATAACGTACGATATTGATTTGTTTTTATTTAACAGATATTAATGATCCTGATTGGTGTTATAATAATTTTCTTAATGGACGAACTCTCAAAGCTGCCGATAATGTCCGTCAACAACTTAAACGAATTATGGAACGCTGTGATGAAGAGTTGGTCAGTACTTCGTTTGAAGACAAAAATTACTATACAAATATACGACAAGCGTTGACAGCTGGATTCTTTATGCAAGTAGCGCATTTAGAGAAATCCGGTCATTATCTAACGTGCAAAGATAATCAGGTTTATATTATTTGTACTTTCTAGTTTGAATATTTCCAAGAATTATATTTCTTAATTACGAATATGACTATTATAATTAATTATTGTGATTATTCAATTTAGGTGGTCCAACTTCACCCATCGTCATCTCTTGGACATCAACCTGAATGGGTCTTATATAATGAATTTGTTCTTACCACCAAAAATTATATTCGTACTGTGACTGAAGTTAAAGCCGAATGGTAATTTTATTCTCTCTCTCTATATTCATTAGTTATATTTATTAGTATCAAAACATATCTAAGATTTAACAAATAATATTTATAATTTATAATTTCACACAGGCTCTTAGATATTGCTCCGATGTATTATGATCTTAGAAATTTCCCAAATTGTGAAGGAAAGAGAGTTCTAGAGAGACTTGTGGCTAGAAGATCCAGAAGAAAATAAATTAAGGTAACCCGCTTGTCTAAAGCTCACGGTATGTTGCTTATTTTTTTTTTTTAAAAAAAAAAAAAAAAAAAAAAAAAAAAAAAAAAAAAAAATAACTATTTCCTTTTTTTTGTTGCGGTGCAAACAACGCCCCTCGTCCAATGAAAAATAAAAAAATAAAATAAAAACGTTGATAGAAAATGATCGATATACATATAAAATACATATGAAAATAATATGAATATAATATATATTAGTATCTCACATTTTTGATAAATAACGCATGTTTGAATTGATAGAACAGATTTAGTAAATGAAAATTTAGGTTTATAATCGGATCGGACGCAAGATGCCCTTCCGGCGATTACATTATTATAAAATACATATTAAGGATTATTATAGAGGTAGGTTTATAAAAATGGCATTTTAAAAAAATTTGTTTTTTATACATTTGTTACGGCGATCACTTCTTTTCTTTTCATTATAATGTAGTGGTCAGTACATTACAGTAATTTATTGAATATATAGTACTTAAAATGAGGAATTTACATTACATTCGTAATATTCGTAATGGATGTGCTATTCTTTATATTAATATTATTATTATGTATCTGACGTGAATTATTTTATTTAATTTGTTGATATATTAAAAATGTTGTTATTATAAAAAGTACATCCGTAATTGTATATTTGACCATTAATTATTGCATAATTTAAGTTATAATCGATATTCAATGATAATAAAATATTTTAACTAATTCTATAAATTAATAAAGATTAAATAGGATTTATGTATAGATCTAATAAATTTTTATTTAATGATTATTATATACCTTCTCAACGAATCGCCATATTCTTACAACTCCATCATCTCCTGCACTGGCCAACCAATCTGAATGTTCCTCTGTTGGATACCATTGTACACGATTTACATCAGCAATTCCATGAGCTGAAGAAATTGATGCAACTAATGAAAAATTCGGAGTGGTTGTACCACTGATGCCATTAAGTGTTGAAGATATGGACGGTTCATCTTCTTTAAACACTCTGATCGTGTTATCCCCACTTCCACTTGCAATACAACCATGAACCTTAGACCAGCTCACCGAATATATACATCGTTGATGATAACCGCTTAAAGTACACACACATTTCCATTTCGGTTCGTTACGAACTGTTACTATACCCTCCTGATTATTTGGATAATAACAACGCCAAAATTTAAGTGTTTTGTCATCTGATGCAGAAACTGCAAGTATTTTTTTTTTTTTTTTTATAAAATTAATATATATTAAAAGATGTATATTGAAAGATATAAAAAAACAAATGAGTTTTTAGTAATTAAATCTTTAATCTTAATAGAAATTTGTATTCGAGTAAAAAAAATAAATAAAATAATAATAATTTGTACCTAAATATTCTCCGGTCTTATCGAAATCTATGGCCCACACCGTACTATCGTGCCCTTCTAATGTATCAGAACAATACCAATCGTCATCATCCTCACGCCAAATTTTAATGCTATCGTCATAACTTGCAGACGCCAAAAGCTTTTAAAATTCCAATAAGCGCAAATTACCATTATTGTTTAAATTGTTATTAAAAAAGAGAATGAATTAATTACTTCTTTAGTAGGATGCCACATTATCATCTTTACATCTTGTGTATGTTCTTGTAAAACACTTAAGCATTCAAAGTCGTTATCGGATGTCACTAAATTAGTTAAATTAATTGAGATCATGATTTATTAAAATAACTCGAAACTTATAATTGTGATGATCGATAGGAAAAAATAATTGAAAAAAAAAAAAAAAAGAAAAAGAAAAGATTAATGTTCACCTTCCCAAATCCATACACTTTTGTCACGGCCGCATGTAGCAAGTAACGTCCCTGATGATGACCATGAAACAGCTTTTGTTTCATTTTCGTGACCTTCTAAAGTAGCGACGCATTCAAATTCTAAAAAAGATTCAAATTTTTAATATCTAGGACCAATCATTTTTAAATAAATTAAAAAGTAATCTATTTACCACCACTTTCGTCGCGTTCCCAAATACCAGTAAGAGCGTCAAAACTTGCGGTTGATAATTGACGTCCGTCAGGACTCCACGAAATATTTCGTATTGTCCTTTTATGAGATCCTTCTAGGACATGTGTACATATCCATTCTGAAGGGTTAGCATCGGAGACGGGTACCCATAAACGAACTGTTTTATCTCCCCCACAAGAAGCAAGAACTTTTCCTGTAGGTGACCAAGCAACTGACCAAACTCGATCGGTATGCCCTATTTGAAAGGATAAATCGCGAATCGTTTCAGAGATCAAGTAATTAACAAAAATCGAAAGTCATTTTTTAGTTTTTAATTTCCACACCCTTCAATTCGACAATTTGTTCCAAGTATGCAGCCATTTTAAAAGATTTGGATTTTGAGTTAGATCTGATAATCACTTGCATATAAATTGCATATATATTGCGTACAAAGCAAAAGTTCTATTGGTTGTGATACATCTTATCTGGAAATTTTTTTTTGAGAGAACTTTGGGAAAAATTTTGAATCTAGAAAATATATTGAAGGCACAAATGGAGGCACAAAAACTCATGAAAAGAAAAAGAAATAACACAGTCGAGGTAAGCTTTGAGGAGGATCCTACTATAAGTGAATTTAATTTTCAAGGTCCTTTTTTAGGTAATATTCATTATATTTATTAATTCCTTAATTCATCTATTTATTAATTTATTAAAGGATTAATTATAATTCATATTTAATAATATCCAATAGCATCATTTCACGGAATTCCGCCACCGCAAGATGTAGAGTTTAACACCTACCAATCTTCAAATGGAAGAAAACTTATGATTGCGGGGGAAAATTCCGAAGTAATTTTCGCATCGAAAGAATACGAAGCAGATCAAGTTTCAGAGTAAATCAATTTATATCTTGGGATTTTTTTTTTTTTTAGAAAAAACTTGTTGGTTTAATATTAATTCTATATTTAATAATCATTCGTAGGTATATGATAGCTATTTATGATAAAACTACAAATATAGTAACGTTTAGGCCCGCTCCCGTTATTGATATAGCCCCTATTCCAAAACGACTTAAGTTAGAATCAAACGAGACAAAGATACAAGACAATGTGAATAGATTTTATTACAAGTCGATTTTTGTTATAGAAAAACTTTATTTAGGAATATCTATTTCTTTAGTTTCTTGTCGCGAAAACAGCTCTCGATAAAGAATTTGGTTCGAAGAAGATGCGATCCAAGATTCTTTCAAGAGAGAGAGGGAAAATTGACGCTTCACAGGTGCAAGAAGTTGAAAAAATTGTCTCAAATATTGAAGAAACTATTAAAGCGATCCCAACTGAAGGTAATTTTATAACTTCAAAGCAAATTTAAAAGAAATAAAATTATCTAATTAAATATTAATTTTTTTTTTCTTTTTTACAGAGGATATAAAAGTTATTAATGAAGAAAATAGACCAATACCTCCATACAATATTAATGCTGTTAAAGTTGCTGACGTTTATAAACTTGATGATATAGTGTCACCAATTGAATTTGAGGCAATTCCTGTTCAACAAATCTTGCGAGCCAAAACTAATTCCAAAAGATTGGAATTATTACCGTTCAAGTAATGTATCATATCCGCAGTAGATCCATCTAATTAATGACGGAAAACTTTTTCAATCTATTAATAAAATTAAATAATTTATTATCCAATTTATATTAGATCAAATTTTATCAATGATCGTCTCCTTCCCTCTCTTGGTACCAAGGAAGTTAACAAAAAACGTATCAAAATACTTTTATATATCAATTATCTAATGGCATTTCGATCGGCTCGTGAACATCTTAATGAGCGTGGCGTTATGTTAGAAAAGTTGAAAAATCCTCCTGATATAATTCTAAAGAGCCTATATGAACGTTATACTGAGACTTCATTTTTAAAGACAGGAGGGAGACAAAGGTTATTTTTCTATTACTTCCATTTATAAATTATGTAAATTATGTACTAAATTTTAACCAAATAACAATTGTTATCAAGATCAAAAATGACGTCGAAATGCGAAGACAAACTTTTATGTTACATGTTCGTACTTTGTTTAATGCTAGAAGTATTTCGTGTTGACCCAGAAAAATTAATTGAAGACTTGACAATTACAGCCAAGAAGTAAGTTACAACGAAAATTAAACTTGATCATACTGGTTGCACTGATTTTATATTCAATAATAATAATTTCTTGAATTTAGAGCTTTTAGTATATTTAGAACACTTGGATGTAAAGTCGAAGGAGCAAGTAAACAAGAGAGAGAATCAATCGGTCTTAATGCTTCACAAGCTAGACACATGAAGCGTGCTGTGCTAACAATTCCATTGGTATTTCCGGAACCCTCAAAGAAGAGATTCAATAAACAAAAATAAAATAATAATTCTTTAATGAAAATTTTTGTGTGTTCTTTTTTTTTTTTCTTCTCTGGGAACGGGTTAAAAAATTTATTTTTTTTATGCAGCATTAATAAAAATGGTATATTGATTAAATATCATGTTAGATATAACAACCGATTTTTAAGTTTATATGATAAATTTCTATCAATGCCAATACCAGTGTATTTAAGTACACTCACATGAGCAACCACTTATATATTCTATAATATTCAAAATAATTTCTTTAATATTGTTTTATATTATTTTAAAACTGTTATTGTTAAAAAAAAAATACCATTACATTGAAGAATTTTAATGCAAGTAAATCTATTAAAAAGAAAATAAACAAATACCATGCAGAAGGATAATATTTCAAAAAGGAAATTTGTCGCTTCGCTTAAAAAAATTAATTCAAGTTAATATACTGTATATATATTATCTTTACACCCAAATTTTGTATATTTGTACAATATCAAATAAAAGATTCGATAACTATAAATAAAATTCAAAAATAAGAAAAATAAGAAAAAGTAATAACCGCTTCAAAACCATTTATGATAATAAAAATATTGCCACAATGTAAATCACAATGTATAATTTTATTATCGTGAAGTAATTTAATTCCAATAATAATATCCCGAAATAAATCAATCTTTCTTTTCCACGTCACCATGTGATTCATTTTTTACCCCGATCTTTAATAGCCAACCCAATAATCACTCCATCTTCCATATTATAATATGCCAATGAAACTTGATTTTTCATTACTGCACCTCCAATTGTAAGTTTTTGCTTGCCAGCAGGAAAATTTAACTTTGCAAAGATCTTATCTTTGACAGTTGAAACTAGAGTTGCAAGCGAAAGATTTTCGAGAACAATTATTTGTCCATGACAGTTCCATTCAGATTTCTCAGGAATTGTTGGACATTGAACCTGCACATTTACTGGAGCCTGATAAGAAAAAAAAATGTTAGTTAGTTTATAAAAATAACTAAATAATGAATCTTTTAATTGAATATACAAAAAATACCTGATGAATCATCGTCCACTCTTCTTCAGGAACTAGGGCTCCTACTGAAAGTCCGCTATCTAATTTTGTACGTTTAGATATACCAAAAACTTCATTTTCTTCTTCCAGTAGACGACCGGGTTTAACTGGTGGTACTGGAGGTGCTGATGGTGATGGTACCAGAGGCGTTTGATGAGACTGTGGTGCAGGAGGCATTGGTGGCGGCGGCACATTAACCGGATTCATTCCCATACCTGGTAAAGGAGGTCGATGAAAATGTTGAGGAACCGGTGGAATAGGTGGGCGAGCTGATGATGGCTGACCAGTCATACCCTGTGATACAGGTGTAATATAACCTGGTAATTGGTGGGAAAAAGGTGCGGAAGAACCAGTATAACTGGAATATGTTACCGGAGGTAGACCTCCTGGTGCACCTTGCGAATTATGAGAAGGATATCCTGGAAATATAGGTGAGTTATGTTGTTGTGTAAGCATATGAGATTGAAGATTCTGTTGCATGTGATGTGGATGTGGATTTTGTTCTTGCGGTTGAGGTATTTTTGGACCAATTTTGGAATCACTATCACTACAATTACATTTGAATGCATTTGAGCGTCAGAAATGTACGGTTTAAGAATAAAATTATCAAAAATATATAAAAACACATTATATACTACCTTGTTAATCCCTTGCTTCTATGAATTGCAGCAATTTGTTCATCGATCGAAACACCAGCAGCTGCGCGTTGAGTAGCCATATTTATAGAAGCAGTGTGACCATCCCATACAACCTTTTCTTTTTCAATTCGTTTTTTCTTTTCTTCTTCTTCACCAATCTATAATAATGAACGATTAATATCGACCTTTTAAATGATTATAAAAATCATAAAAATCATAAAAGTATGAAAGTTAAAACATACCTTACGACCAATTTCTGTTTCTTCATTTCCAAATATATCAGAACGATAACCAGAAAACGCCTTGAGATTTTTGGCGACATCCGTTCCTATATGATATCATATATGTAGGTTCATTATCAACATTTCCAAATACACGATTATATGTACAATTAAAATTTCATAAAAACCTTCTTGTAGCAAATTTGATTCTTTCTTCTTCGCTTCTGCAGCCATTTTTTGTTCTTTCCATTTAGGATCCAACAATTCTATACGCACGTGATCATCCATTTCATCAACAGGAATGGCTTGTTTACATCTGGGGCAAATGAGAGTAGGTTTTTCAGTATTGGTTTTAGGTGCATAGGCTATATTTAAAATATAGAAGATTAAAATGCTTAAGATACTATTAAATAAATTTTTACAAATAAAAAAATTTTTATAATTTATACCTTTTGGTGTATAATCTTTTACTATTTTCATAGGAGCAGAAGTGTCGGGAGGTTTGATCTCTGCTATAACAGTAGGCATGTCGCGATCTAGTTCGTCTTCATCTGCTGCTTGATCTTCCTCATCTTCCTCCATATCAACGTCATCGTCAACCTTAAAAAATACAATTAATACAATTAATATAAGTAATATTAAAATATTAAAATTGCGTGAAATTTAAATATGAATTAACAATAATTACCTCCATGTCAATTTCTGCTGCTTTATCTTCTTGAGTTTCAATGATATTAACAGATGCCATCTTCTTTTGAGCGAGTGTCATATTTTCCAATTCCATTATGCTCATGGGCGGAGGAAGATCAATAGTTTCGTCTGCTTCCGTAAATTCAACAGTTTCCACAATAACAAAATCGTGCCAGTCAATTGAGGCATATGCGACTAATCAAATAATAAAAATAGAATTAGTAAAAATTGATTTATTTATAAACGATCATCATACAATAAATTTATGACAAAATTTTTCCATACTTCTCTCCTGATCTTCCTTTTCTTCTGCTTTCTTTCTTTCTTCCTCCTGGTAAGCAGCGTACTCGACACGTTGCATTACACGTTCTAATATTTGGTACTTATTTTCTACATTGGAATTTAATTTTTCATTCAGATTTTTAGCTGGAATCAATACTTTTGTATATTGTTCGACCAATTTTGTAAAGTAATTGCATAAACTATGATTCGGCCGAAGAAAATCAAACTGATAATTTCGTTGTTCACGCTGTGATAGGGCGGTCATAAATTGACGACCGTTACGTGCTACAAATTGGGCTGTTAATTTTAAAATATCACTGTAAATAATATCTAATTTAGTTTTTTTTTTTATTTAAAATGATTTCATTATTAAAAAAGATAAAAAAAAAAAATAAGAATCTTACAGGTCTTGGGCTGATATTGCAGGCATATCAGCCATGAATTCAAACTTTGGCGGTTCCTTCGGTGGAACTTTGGGGGGAGGACCTTCGTCTTTCATTTCCACTTTGATTTCTTTTACTTCTGCCTTTTTTAAGGCTAGACCATAACATAAAATAAAGTCAATTAACAAAATAAATACATAATAATAATTCAAAATTACGAATTTATATTTACCTTTTCCATCTTTTGTTTCGGCTATTTTATATTGATAATAAGCATGATAAGGATCATTTGGATTCAGAAAACTAAATTTGGAATTATGCTTCTCATTTTCACGGATACGTTCCTCAAATTGTACACCATTTCTCGCAACAAAGACTGCAGTTTTATCAACAATATCTACATTTGGGTAATAAATGAGTAAAGATCGTAATGAACTATTGTTGATCTGACAATTTTTTACGATCAAATTCAAAAATACGAACTTCTAATATCTGGAGGCGGATAAATTATCCCCACAAGGGGTCTAGTGTCTTCAGTATCAGGAGTTATATCCGCGATCGAATTCAAATTAACGTTTGAGGGAGTTTCGATCTGGGTCATTCCGACCATTTTCTTGAATAGATTATTTAGATTTCAAAAAGTTAAAAAGTTAAACGGAAAGTCTAGGTTTTGATCTACATGTAGCATGACGGAAGTTCATTTTTTTGATGATCATGTTACACAAATTTTTATATAATGAATACATATGATTTTCGTTACCATATAAGTGTCACACTAATAATTGCAACCTTGAGTCACGATACTTTGCAAGACCATTCATCTACTTTTCTAACGAAATTTACATGAGCATCAATGAGCATCAGAATTATACACGAGGTACCTTAGAGGCAAATTTTAAAATAATAAGTAATTAGACCTATTATAAAGATTTTTTTTTTTTTTTGTATTCGGACCAACCCTTGTTTGTGCTACATGAGTCATACGAGCCCATTTTAGTCACTAATGACATGGGAGTACTTCTCATATCATAAACACTCACTGGACCAGTAGGATATTATCCTTCATCGATCCCAGGTTACAGCTTGCTATCAGTGGTCCAACGGAAACATCCGAAGTGAACTGATAGTTTATTATACTGAGATATCATTGTGGCATGAAAATCACGAAAGACCTGTGACTACACAGTAC